AGTCAGTCAGTCAGTCAGTCAATCAATCAATCAATCAACAGTCAGTTAGTCAGTCAGTCAGTCAATCAATCAATCAATTAAATGTAGCGTGTTTATATCCAATGTATTCGTATAGTTATAAGAAGTATGGGATGTAATGATAGGCAATGTTATTTAGTGATGAAGGAGATCGATGTGGTAGTGGTATACCCAATGCCAGAAGGGAAGTCACCAAAACTTCTTCGATTGCACGTTACGTTATAGCGGCCTCCTGAAGGAGAGTTGGTACCATTTAACAAAAGATTTCTCATAGCATCCATTGTTAACGGCACCAAAATGGCCGCCATGTTTAGTCTTTTGAGTCTTTGGAATGCTAATTACTAATTATCCATCTCTCTTTTTCACTTCAATGAGTGAAATTTGTGACCAGGATAAATGTTTGTATGCTGCTAAACCAAATAATACTACAGGACAAATTGGCTTCATCGGCGACTCAAGGAACCTCCTTTATCGCACAGCGGCCATGTTTATGACATCTTCCGCATATGTAATGTGGTCTAGATTCTGTACAAACAGCACCATACAAGGCATGATGAASAAACGATTTGTACGGAAGCTAGACCACAATGGAAATGGTCTATACACGTTATCTTATGCATTTATTTTTCGTGTAATAATGACTTTCATAATGATAATAATTTCAAGAGGATTTTTAACAACTTTAAGAATTCTTTATCAATATGGAAAATAAGGTCCTTAACTGTGTACGGAAAAATCCAAGTACTCCGTTCAACTTGCGCTTCCTAAGGTCGTTATACGTTTGTTCAAAAATTAATGTCTAAAGACTTTATTCAGATAGTTCAAAACACTATCAAAGATTTTATCAGTATGGAAAGGGGAAAAAATATAAATTGTTAATTACTCAGTCGTTGGAATAAAACTACCTGATTTTGAACTATGCCTCAAGATTGATCGAGTAAAAGGGGCCGCTATGTTTGCGATAACTAAAGAAACTACCTGGGAAGGTTTATTATCAACATATCTATCTTTTATCTATCTACAAATAAATCCTAATAAGATGGTTGCATGATGGCGTCATTGACCTTTACTACCAGACTCCCTTGCACACTTTCTTTCGTTCAGTTAATTAGCACCAATTGTCTTATTATTCTCATGAGGGAATACAAATTTAATTAAGAATGAAAATTCGCAAAGCATCTTGGAAGTGGGAGTCAAATTAGGTGACACCGCCTATAAAGAACGCATGCAAACTCTCCATCTGCTTCCCTTGTGCTACGACAGGGAGCTCAAAGACTTGATATTCTTTCATTAAGAACTTTTTATGGACATATTGACTTTAACATTAGTGACTTTGTCGTCTTTAGTAAGCATAGTAATATACGTAACTGTCTTAATCTTAGATTGATGCTCAAGGTTCCTTTCTGTAACTCTAATACTTTTCAGGTCTCATATTTTAATCGCATCGTTAAAATTTGGAATTCCATTTGTAAATCTTCTCCTTGTACATTTTTTTCTAGTATAGCTACTTTCAAAACCGCATTTCAGTACGTTACTTTTCTTTACTTGATTCTGTTTTTGATATAGATATTGTCTTGYACCTGGTCTGCTTTTCGAGAATGTCCCTGTCATAGAGGTTAACCTCTTAAAGTGCACTAGTTTTATCTTAATGAACGTATTTTTCCATTCTTATTTTTTATTTTTACGTACAATGTTATATTTTTTGTGTATTTTTACGTTTAATTATTTCAACATTTCAGGTGGTCACCTCGCATGGGTCTCGTGTCCCATTCGTGACTTTCCTTTCTGGGTAACTATTAGTTTTTTTTTTATTCAACACATTGTAATATTAGTTTCCCAATAAAGCTGTTGAAAAAAAAATGACGTGATCATGCAAACGTCCTAACGATTGGGGAAAAAATCCATAAAATTTCAATCCCCTTTTTCAGAAAAACATTTTACAAGTTGGTCAGAGATAGCGACAGGTAACATTAATAATAACCCTCATTTGGCTATCGATCAGTATCTTTGGAATAATAAATATTAAAAAATTGGGAATGTTTCCGTATACTATAAAATGTTTGCAGSTCTCAACATCAACAAGGTAATAGACCTTAGTGATGAAAATCATGAATATGGATGGTTATGCTAAACAAATCAGTGGGTCTACAAAATAAAGCCTTTCTACGGAGGAAAAAACGTTTAAAAAGAGAAGAAAAATATAGATGCAAAATAGACAATTAACAAAGTTTTTTGAATCTGGACAAAAAAGCTAAACGAGAGAAAAGGTTACAACAAACCAGATATATGAATGGTTTATATCAGTCACTCAAACACTTAGACCGCCGTCATCCCAAATGAATGGGAACAATTGCACGAATCAATTTAATTGTTAGAAAAAAATCACTCTTCCGGTCTCTATCAGGTTTAATAGTAATCTTGGTATAGAAGACAGTCTTATCATAAATTATAAATAATTAAAGGTCATTGCGCATTAGCAGCCATTGTTAATATGGGAGACTGAGAGAACTGATTTTCGGGAGAGGAACTAGAGAGATGTGTTGAACGAAAAACTAGAAGGATAAATTTCGCTACGAATCTTCTGAATAATAAAACGATAATTGATTCCAAATCTGCAAAATAATCCGAATGTGACAATGGCGCAGTTATTTGCCCATACAAATGCATGACGTTTTGCTAAACTTCCCTTAATAATTGCTTAGTATTCCACCCTTTTTCAGATTGGATTGCTCATTTCAGTTTCTTAGAGTAGGCGTAGCGCAGTTGATTAGTGTGCGGCCTCTGGAGGTCCACTGTTTGATCCTCAGGATCTCCACATCTGATTCGACTTCTCTCTAATTTGTGTTGCTTCAGCTTGGAATGCTCTTAGTAAATCAGAGCACTGATGGAGAGAGGGGAT